CCGCGCGCCGGGCTCTGGGGGGTCTGAGCTCTGAATGGCCGCACCCTGGGGTTCCGGGGGCGTCGGAGGACTGGGGGTCCGCGTGCTGGGGTTCTGGGGAGCCCGAGATTTGAGGGAACAGCGTCCTGGGGCTCTGGGAGGGTCCGAGGCCTAAGAGGGCATCGTCTTGGGGTTCGGGGTGGCTTGGACATCTGGGGGGCCGCGTACTGGGGTTCTGGGGGGTCGGAGGTCTGAGGGTCGCGTTGGGCGAGGTCCGGGGTCTAACGGACCCCACTCGGGTTCTGGGATTTACGGGTGTTTGGAAGGTCGGGGCCTGGCGGGGGAGGTCCTCAGCCTGGGGCTCGACGACTGCGGAGTTTGAAGGCGGTGCTCCGCCGGCAGAGAGCCGGGGGACCCGGGGTTCAGGAAGGGGTCAGGGGTGGTGGGAGCGTTTGTCCTCGGTCGAAGGACCCGGTTGTGGGACCCGGAGAACCCAGCGGCCAGGGGCTGGGGACGCCTCGCGGTGATGGAGGAGGCTTGAGGGTCGAGGCCGAGACGCTGAGGGCGGCCAGCGGTGGAAATGGGGCCGGGGACCCTGTCTACGAGGTCCCTGGGACCGGAGGCCGGGACGCGGCTTCTCGGAGGACCCCGGTGCCCCACGGAGGGGCCGCGCAGACTCGGGGTCCGTCCCGGAGGAGACGAGGGCGGAGGTGTCCAGGCCTGGGAGCCTGGGTGTGCGGGCCCTCGGGTCCCAGGACCTCGGTCACCCCGGGGACGAAGGGTCGACGGAGGGGTGCGGCTGCAGCAGGGCCCGGATAGCGGCAGCAGGAGAGGCGGCTGGGGGAGGCTGCGGCCTGACGTCGGCCTCCGGGGGTCAAGGGCAGGGCCTGGGCGGGCACAGGGAGGGGCAGCGCCAGAAGGCACGCGAGACCCGTCCTGGTCCGCAGGCTGACTCGCTGTGGGCTGCTTCTGGGGCCGGGGACCGCTCCGCCAGGACGCCTGTGCCCGAGAAGGAAAAGACGGCTCAGGGACTGAGGGAGGAGGACGTGGGGAGAGCCGGGCAGGGAGCTTTCCTGCAGTCACGCACGAGTTGGAGAAGCGGGTGGGGAAAGGGTCATTCGGGACCTGTGCACTCGCTGCAGCCTGGTTTGAACGAGCTCATTTTCTTGGGGAAACCAGAGCTCTGAAACTTTAAGACTCTTCCCTCCTTTTCCAGTTCTCTTCTTTCTCAGGCGCTAGCTTTTCCCTTCCCCGCCCCCCTCCCGCAGCCCCGAGAGCCCTGAACATTTCCAAGAGCCTGATTGGAAGGGAAGGGGCTGCTGGCCTCCTCTGGGGAGGTGATTGACAGCTCCTGGAGCCCATGGCCCGCAGGGAGAGGGTGGGACTTCCTGGATGCTCGGTCCTGTCTCCTGCAGCCCACTCCCCACCCTCTGCATCTTTGGAGCTGCCACCTGCATCCTCTGGGAGCCCCTGCCTGATTGCCTCTTCGCTGGAGAGGTCGGGTGGGAGGGTCCTGGGAGTTCCCAGAAGCTGGGGGTTCGGCCCCTCCCTCTGGCTGCATCAGGGGGCCATATTTGGCTTCGCTCAGGTGAAGCACCTGCCTTGGGGCCAGCTTTCTCTGGGGTGGGGAGATAACTGGGAGGGGGACAGGTTAGCAATGCGGGGTGGACGGAGGAGTGCAGATTCCCATTTGGGAGGTGATGCGTCTTGCTGGGCTGAAGGCCTCTCTATTCCCAGCATGCTTTTCTCCAAGCAGCTTGGCTGGTTTCTTGGTGGTTTCCCCGGTCAGTAGGTGAAGTTGCCTCCTAGCCCTCACCCTGAGCACCCCTGACTGGCCTTTCACTACAGATCGATGACATTGCCGATGGTGCTGTGAAGCCCCCTCCCAACAAATATCCCATCTTCTTCTTTGGTACACACGAAACGTAAGTTTCCCCAGCTGGGGCGTGGTTCCCCCCTTGGTACCTCCCAGGGTGGCCTGGCTCATTGGGAATGGCCCGTGGTTCCTTTCTCTAGAGCCTTCCTGGGACCCAAGGACCTGTTCCCATACGACAAGTGCAAAGATAAGTATGGGAAACCCAACAAGAGGAAAGGCTTCAATGAGGGACTCTGGGAGATCCAGAACAACCCTCACGCCAGCTACAGCGCCCCTCCGGTGAGTACTGGGGGGCTGGGGATGTCAGCGGGCGTGGCTGCAGAGCCCGAGGCAGGAGGGCACTTCCTCACCGTGGGAACTTTGGGGGGCTCTTCCTCCACTCATAGGAACAGCAGCTGTGAGGTCGGACTCTCTCCTCCTTGGCACTGCAGTCGGGGCTGAATCATTCTCTGCCAGGGTAATCGGGGTGCTGGTCACTCCATGCCAGGAGCTCCCCCCGTTTTGGCAGCCACCCATGTCCCCAGAGATCACCCAGTGTCCTCTGGGGGTGGGGACAGAGGGCTGTAACATCACTCCTTCTGAGAACCATTCCTCTGGCGTGGGCTGAATTTCTAACGGTACTATTACAGTCTTATAGAACTTTTTATTTCCTAAGGAAACTTTTTCATTCGGTAATATCCTCACCTCTTTGTCGTCACATCTCGAGTTCAGGAGAACAGGCAGTAGTTTGATGACATGAGTGTTCTTAGTCATGTGGAAAATAATGGTAAGGATCGTAGAGCTGAGGGCATCTCCGTGGCACAGCAGTGTGTGGCGCGGTTGTGGGCGAGGAGGGGTTCAGAGCAGATGCTAGAAGGCCAGGGAAGGCTGGAGTCGGGTCCCGTGCTGGGTGTTTCAGGGTGGGATGTGGACAGGGAAGCTGGGCTGGGGTCCGTGGCTGTGCTTAGAACCACTGCTTCTGAGGGTTATGGGGGAGGCTGGAGGGCAGGAGTAGCTCTGGCCTAGGAGAGGCAGGCTTGACATCGCAAGGCGGTTCCGGGAACGGGTCACAGTGAGTGAGAGCTGGGCAGTTAGTGAGGAAAAGGACACAGAGTCGTCACTGGGGAGACAGGCCGGCCTGTGGTTTCCAGGGTAGCATCATGGCGCCTGGAGTTCTTCGGGACTTGGGGTCTTTTGATGCTCTGGTGAGCCTCCCTCTTGTCTCAGCCCGAGCTGGCCGGCACTGTCGAGCACCCCCTGTGGACGGGTGGACATTTCTGTGTTGGCACTGCCATGTGCCAGATGTTTTCTGGAGCTCCTGCCCCGGGATTTGGGGTTCACTCAGCAGCTGCCTCTTGAGCACTGAAGGCCTGGGAGGCACTTGTGCAGGGGCCAGGGGCCCAGGCCCCATGCATCCCAGGTTGGCTCTCGATGTGTTCGGGAGACCTCGGGTTCGCCAGCCAGCCTCTTTTCCTAGCCTGTGCGTGTCCCTGGCCCTCGAAGTGATCGGAAGATCTTTAAGGCAGTTGAGTTTCATGAGATCCTTTTCTGGCCCCAGCCCAAGGTCTCTTTGGTTACATCCTAAGCGTATTAGCTCCTGGTGAATCATCGCACCATTTAATATTTATTGGGCACCCACAGCTTGTTAAGTACATACTCGGCTGCCCTCAAGGAAAGAAAACTCAGAACAGCGCACCCTTGAGATTAAACGAGCCCCCTGCAGACCCACCAAGCTGAGGAGTAGTTGTGGTCGAGTTGCTGCTCCTTGGGTCTCTAATCTGTATGTGGGTCCAGATGGCACAGCGTTCGAGTGCAGGTTCCCAGGCCAGCCCCTGGCCCTGCAGGTGTAGTGTGCACGGAGCCTGTGGCGCTTGCAGTTCCCCTTGCCAGACCCACCTGGTGCTTCTAATGTGGCCAGTTGTCAGGCAGGCATTGGAAGCGTGCTTTGTGGAAAACTTTTTTTTTTTTCTTTTTTGGTACCGGGGATCAAACTTGAGTCCTTGTGCTTGCAAGGCAGGCGGCGGAACCACTGAGCTAGATCCCTGGCCCTATTAAAATATTTTAGTACTTGAAGCTTTTTTATTTTATCTTTACCCAGACTTCGAAAGTGAAAATGGGCATTCAGTGAAGGTGGCCTCAAAAAAGGCAATCTTGGGGACGGGGGATACAGCTCAGAGCTTCCGCCGCCTACCTCGCACGCGCAGGGACCCAAGTTTGGTCCCCGGTATGGGAAAAAAAAAAACAAAAACCCGAAAAAGGCAATCTTGCTGCCCATTCTTGCCTCCTGGTTTCTGTTTTGTTTCCTCTCAGAATTGCCACAGATGTCAGGTCCTTGCACACCTTTCAAGATTCTGTTTTGATTTTTATTTGTTTATTTTGAGGCAGGGCCTTGCCGTTTCCCCGGGCTGGCCTCAAACTTGAGATCCTTCTGCCTCAGCCTTCTAAGTAGCTGGGATTATAGGCGTGCCCAACCATGCCTGATTTATATATTTATGTAAAATCACACATGCTTTCTTTTCAGAAGTGCGTAATTTTGCCCTTTGCTGTATTCAGTCACCATTATCCTATACCTTGATGATTGTTCTGTACAACATGCAGAGAATAATGTCAGTCTGTTCGAAAGCTTAGCTGTTTCTTCCAGGAGTATACAACAGGCCTATTTTTTGACCCTCATCAAGCCAGTTGGTAAAACTGAGGCTTGGAATTGTCTTTTGGTTTCTGCAGCAACCCTGAGGGTGACCATTGTACAGGTGGGTAGACTGAGGCCTGGAGAGTTTGCTTGAATACCCAGAGGAGCCCAGGTAGAGCCTGAGGCCCTTCGCGTTGGTCCTGTGTAACAGTAACGGTGATGTACCACGTACTGAGCAGCATGCCTGGCCTTCCCCCGCCAGCTGCCGGTAACATCTGCCTGTCTCCTCTTCAGTCCTTACAGCCACAATGTGTCTCAATGTTGTCACATGCTCCCTGGGGGGCAGTGACACTTAGGGCTGTCAGCATTGACATAGAAGGGCCCCATTTAATGTTTCCTTTTCCCGTGATAGTAGAGATGTGAAGGGACTGGTCCAGGGTTCTCAAGTTCGTCAGCAACAAGGCTGAGCAGGACCAAAGCCCAGGCCTCCCTACTACCTGTCCGGGGTCTCTTCCTCTGACTGAGACCAGCTGGGGACGGGATTAGGAGGAGGCTGGCCTGAGGCCAGAAGTCCTGCTGCGAGGATCACTGGGTTCATGTGCTCTGTACCTGGGGCCGTGAGAGTACAGTGGCAGCCTCTGGATACAGTGGAGTATCCAGGAGCCAGGAAGGAAAAGTGTCATGTTCAGCGTGCGACAGAGGCCATCGCCGGGTCTGATCTCTTCTCCACCACAGTCCCTGCCAGAACCGCTCAAATGAGCTGCCTCCCACACCCCAGAGTCCTGGGGTGCTTGGAAGTGGCTGGCTTTGGCCTTTTATTTCTGGGTTCTTGTCTGTCCTGCCAGCATTCATTTCATGCAGACCTCTGTATGGGCAACATGGCCCAGAACCTTTGCGGGAAGGCAGGTCCAGGAGACCCAGAGATCCTGGCTGGATCCCGAGTCAACACTTGGGCCAAGTCCCTGACTCCCTGGAGCCTCAGTTTCTCAAAGGAGCATGCATGTCCTTCCCAACAGATGGCCAGGGTGTGGAGGCCCAGATCAGATCATGCTTGGTTAAGGGGGCGGCAGAAGTGAGGGGACTTTTCAGGAGGAGGACTTGTGTTCATGTCCTGAGTTTCTCTCGTCCTTATTCACTCTGTTCTTGAGCTGTTGTTGTTTAACTGTTCTCAGATTGTATCTTCATCTGCAAAGTCAGGATGCTAAGCCAGGTATGGTGGTTCATGTCTGTCATCCCAGCAGTTTGGGAGGCCGAGGCAGGAGGATGTCAAATTCCAGCCCAACCCGCACCTTAGTTTGAGACTTTGTCTGCAAATAAGCAAAAAAAGTGGGGGTGATGGCTGGGAATGTAGCTCAGTGAAAGACCCTGGGTTCCATCCCCAGTACTGCAAGACAGACCAAAAAAAGTAAAAAGTCGGAATAATAATTCCCACCTGTTCGTAGTGAGCCATGTATGACAAGCTCTGAAGTACTTGGGTTGCTCTTACAATCATGATATCGACCTGCTCCTTCTGCAAAAGGTACTTGGCCCAGCCCTTTGGCACTGTCTCCGAGCTGCTGTTCCCCTGTGACAGAGGGGCACTGCGCTCCCTCTCTGCCCACCGGCGATGCCGACTGGCAGCTGTGCAGGAAAGGTGTGAATCTGCTTGGAAGCGTTATTCTCCGGGCACCTCCATTTGCGCCATGACCTACTTAGGTGATACCCTTTCAATCTTGTCAGAAATTATACAGGCAGGGCCCTGTCGCTGCGCCTGGGGGCGCTGGGCCACAGTGGCACAAGGGAGACAGCTGCCAGGTCAGTTCAACACCTGGTTCTCGTTTTTCTCCTGCGTGAAGCAGGGATTGTTAGCCAGAGTCTGCGCGTGCGTTCGGGTGGCCTGGGCTCCCGCCTCCGCCTTGGTGTGGGGGAGGGTGGGGTTTATTCCAGGGGAGCCTGTGAGGGGAGTTGGGGTTCCCTCCTCCGGCCAGGTCTTCGCCCCGCCCCGCCCTGCGTGCATCCACACGGATCAGCTGCTGTAGGACCCCGTTTCCCTCCTGCCACGCAGCCCCCTCCCCTGGCGCCCAGCGGGGACTCCTGGGCACACGTGGCTCCTCTGTCCCGTCCCCAGTTCCACAGTCCCATTTCTGCCTTGAGACGCCTCTCGTGGACCTCATGCCGTTTTCATTCTCCTCCTTGCCTTTTTCCTGGCCAGCAAGCTTGTCCCTGTCCCATCCCTTCCATGCTGGGCATAATCACGCCAAGACAGTAGGCCTTTTTAAAAAATAATCTTACCGGGCACAGTGGTGTGTGCTTGGCACTCCAGCACTCAGGAGGCTGGAGCAGGAGGGTTGCCACACCTGGACTACGTACATACTGTCTCAAAAAACAAAGAAAAAAATACATTCTGTGTGTGTGTGTGTGTGTGTGTGTGTGCGTTCCATGCTGGGCATAATCACGCCAAGACAGTAGGCCTTTTTAAAAAATAATCTTACCGGGCACAGTGGTGTGTGCTTGGCACTCCAGCACTCAGGAGGCTGGAGCAGGAGGGTTGCCACACCTGGACTACGTACATACTGTCTCAAAAAACAAAGAAAAAAATACATTCTGTGTGTGTGTGTGTGTGTGTGTGTGTGCGTGCGCGTGTGTCATACTGTCTCAAAAAACAAAGAAAAAAATACATTCTGTGTGTGTGTGTGTGTGTGTGTGTGTGTGTGCGCGTGTGTGTGTGTATTACATATAAATTGAATTGGGTGTAACACCTGCTGTCATCCCAGCACTCTGTGATGCAGGAGGATTACAGACTCAGCCTGGGTAATTTAGTGAGCCCCTACCTCAAAATAAGGTAATTTTAACAGGCTTGGAATGTAGCTCAGAGCACAGGCCCTGGCTTCAGCCCCCAAAATGACCGTTTTAAAGTGCACCCACCAGTGGCGTTTTGTACAATTCCTGTGTTCGGCCGCCTCCACTGTGACTGCAGAGCGCCCCACGGCCCCACAGAGGAGCCCGCTAGCTGTCGCTCCCCACAGCCTCGAGTCTGCCTTCTGTCTGCATGTACCTGCTGGGGTGAGAAAGTCACCTCGGCGTAGCCGCACACTCTGTCCTTTGTGCCCGGCTTCTCCCCGAGTGCGATGTTCTCAGGGTCCCTCGCGCTGCACTGTGTCCGCGCTTCCTCCCTCTCCGGCCCTACAGCTGTGCCGTAGTTAACTCATCGCCGGATATCTGAGTGGTTTCCAGAGGTTGGGGCCTAGGTTTGTGGGTTTTAGGTCCTGGGTGTAGAACCCAGGGCCTTCAATCTGAGCTATATTCCCAGGCCTTCTTTTAGCTTTTATTTTCAGAATGGGTCTCACTTAAATGCTAAGTTGCCCAGGCTGGCATCAAACTTGGAATCCTCCTGCCTCAACTCCCCACAGTGCTTTTAAAAAATTTTTTTTTCTCACTGTAATTTTGAGGTACATAATAAATGCATTCACTGTATGGAATTGCATTTTGCATCTTGATCCTTTTTCCTTCTCCTTTCTCTGTAAATTATCTTCCTCTCTCTTTATTTTTTTCTCCCACAGCACTGGGGATTGAACCTGGGGTGTTCCCACAGAGCTATATCGCCAGTCCTTTTTTTAACCTCCTCTTTTTTTTTTTGCAGTACTGGGGATTGAACTGAGGTCCTTGGTGCCACTGAGCTACATCCCCAGCACCAGTCCTTTATTTATTTTTACTATGAGATGAGGTCATGCTAAGTGATTAAGTTGCCCAGGCTGGATTTGAACTTGTGATCCTCCTGTCTCAGCCTCCCAGAGTGCTGGGACCACCACACCCAGCTTTCTGTCAAATAGCAGTTACTGAGAAGTGCCATGAAATACCTTGGTCTGAGTTCGCGGTCAGACGTGGCTGATGTGGCGCTGCTCCCCTCCTGGTGCTGTGCTGTGACTGCCTTTACGGGCCTGTCGCCGCCAGAGTGAGCTTCTGAGAGCAAAACTGTGTCTTGGTCTACCCAGTGCCCAGCCTGTGTGGGGCACGTAGTAGGTCTCTGTGATGTTTGGTGGCTGACTGAGTGCTGAGGAAGTGGGCCTGGTGCATTTTCCTACCACAAACATAGGTCATCCAGAGCCGGTTCCAGAGGAACCCGAGGAGGCCCCTGTGGCCTTCACTGCCATCTGCCTGGTCAGATCGAGAGCCTCAGGACCGCTGTGCAGGACTCGGGCCTGGCCTCACTCCCAACCTCTTCGCCATCTTGCCCTCTCTCACTGTGCCCCTGCAGCGCCATCTCCTCCAGTTGCTAAGAGGACACCTCAGGCATTGCATTCCTGCTCTGCAGAGCGCGTGGAGCCCACAGCCCTCTGCATGCTGGGACAACTCCTCCACTGCAGTGTCACAGCCTCTGGGGCCTCCTCAGCCCCCGGCCTGCCACAGTGTGCAATGCTCCCTTCTCTCGCGCCCCTCACAGCCACCACGCCCAGTGCTTTCTTCCTGCCTGTCTCCACTTCGGGAGCTGTGTGCATGAATCAGCCTCTTCCGCCCTCATCAGTCAGCCCCAAGGAAGCGGGCTGGGCCTCAGTCACTTCTGTGTCCTTTACCCACCGAGCCCAGTGACGTGGCCAGTCCAGAAGACGGGCCATAAAAAGCATCAGCTTGTTGGGGGCTATTCCTGCCTCTGGGGGCATTTTGAGTGTAACAAATTCAGCAGTGGCTGGACACCAACAGTCCCGCACTCAGGAGGCTGAGGCAGGAGGGTCACAAGTTTGAGCCCAGTGACAACGACTCAGTGATACCCTGTCTCAAAATCAAAAGTATAAAAATGGACTGGGGTGCAGCTCAGTATAAAGGCTCTAAGTCCTGTCCAAAACCCAAAAAATGGGCTGGGGATTTAGCTCAGTGGTTCCGCCACCTGCCTTGCAAACTCAAGGTCCTGAGTTTGATCCCTGGTACCA